GAACACCGAACGTCGTCCAAAATCCTTTTCCTAATCATCAGGAGAGAGGAATCAACGCAATCACCACCGAAAATGGCAAGAGAATTAAAACTTGTGTTTCAGAAGTTAAAGCTCCTTTGGCTTGGGTATGGAGCCAAATGGTAAAGGCGGGGCTTCTTACACCCCATTCACGTGCAACTAGGATTGAAGATGGTAACCATTGTTGTTACCACAACGAAGAGGGGCATAATGTGCAAGAGTGCCTAGAATTCAGATCTATAGTCCAGCTCATGATGGACCAGAAAGAGCTGGAATTTTACGAAGAAATTCAAGATTTTTTGGAAGCAGATGTTTGTGTCACCGGAGAATCATCAGACAAAAGATTCGGAAGGGGTAGTCCTTTGGTAATTACCCCTAAGGCAAATATGACAGTAACAATACCAGCCAAGGTGGTGATCATAATACCTCGTCTTTTTCAATACAACGACAATCGAAAAGTGCCATGGAAGTACGAATGACATGTGAGTACTTCCAAAGGATGTGATAGCAAAGTGGGGAAAAGACCACTTGAGCCATTCAAAGAAGATGTGCTAGTTGTCAATGAACCTATAAAGGAGGAAGAAGCTAAAGAGTTCCTCAAGATCTTGAAGCACAGCGAGTACAACATTGTAGAACAACTTCACATCTTACCTACGCGTACTTCAACGCTAGCACTATTTTTAAACTCAGAGGCACACCGAGAAGCACTGTTGAAAGTCCTAAATCAAACGTTCGTGCCACAAGACATACCGGTCAGCAAGATGGATCGACTGGTGAACATTATTTAAGCTGATAATCTCATCTCATTTTCAGATGATGAGATTCCATCCGGAGGAAGAGGCCGAACAAAGGCATTGCATATTACTACGTACTACAAGGGACACGCTTTACCGAGTGTATTGATTGACAACGGGCCGGCTGTGAATGTGATGTCTTTGGTGACATTGAAGAGGCTACCAATAGATACCTCTCATATGAGAGCCTGTCAGAATGTGGTCCGAGCATTTTACGGGACCAAAAGAGAGGTAGTCAGTAAGATCGAGGTACCGTTGACCATCGGACCAGCCACCTATGATGTTGAGTTCCTTGTGATGGATATGATGCCATCCTATAGCTATCTTTTGGGAAGGCCATGGATTCATCAAGCAGGTGCAGTACCCTTCACGCTGCACCAAAAAGTTAAATTTGTTATTGACGGGGCCTTAGTAATTATCAATGCTAAGGAAGATATTATGGCAAGTGTGACCACGGAGGCCCTATACGTCAAAGTAGATGAGGAAACGGTGGAGTACTCATTCCGCTCCTTAGAATTCGTGAATGCCACATTCTTGGTAGAAGGAAGAAGGATTCCTAAACCTTGACTCTCCCAGTGCACCAAAATAGAGATCAAGCAAACCTTGGGATGAGGCGCCAAGATCGGAAGAGGGTTTGGGAAGTTGCTATAAGGAAGGATCAATCCAGTCCTTCCAATTTTGAAGTTAGATCAGTTTGGGCTCGGTTTTCAGCCTAGTTACCATGAAAAGAGGAAGGAAGTCCAGAAGAACCGAGAAATAAGACTAGCCAGGTTAACTGGAGCTAAACTTAAAAGGGAACCCATGGTATTCCCGCCTCTTTACAATTCATTCAAGTCGGGTGGTTATATGTTCGAGACTACCTCATCCGATCTAGAAGCGGCTCTGTAAGATATGAACATTAATTTTGTGACCATAGAAGATGTTGAAAGCGAAGATAGATCCAGAATATGCCCTCTGCCACCTGGGTTCGTGCCTAGCAGTTCGTCGGTGGAAGAAATACATGTGGTTTACAAGCGTCTTTCAGAGTAATATTCGAACTATCCCTATTTGCTTATACCCAGGGCAATAGGTGATCTTTTGTAAGGGTGAATAAACATTTTGTTTAAATTAAATAAAAGATGCATTTTTTCCTTTCCATGGAAAACAAGTTTTCTTATTTTCATTTCTTTTTGAATTCATTGTTTATTTTCTTCATTCCAATACTCTATTCTATTCTCTTTCAAATTTAATTATTTCACTATTTCGTGTGGGATATTTCCTCTCACACACACATATCTTCTTTGTTCCTTCAGGACCCCAGATAATGATAATGTAGGCACTGATGATCTTGATCCGAAAGTGGATTTTGAATCGACCATTTGTCTAGGGGAATTCGACGAATGCGACAATGAAGAGGAGTGCAACTTGCCCACCGAATTTTTGAGAATGATAGAAAGAGAAGAAAAACAAATACTACCACATGAGAAGGTGATCGAAATCTTGAATCTAGGCACTGAAAATGACAGAAAGGAGGTTAAAATCGGACAACTCTATCGGCTCAAGCAAGACAAAACCTTATAGTCTTACTTCAGGAGTACAGATATGTGTTCACTTGGTCGTATCAAGACATGCCGGGACTAGACACAGATATGGTAGTTCATAAACTGCCAATTAAGCCAGAATGCAAACCCGTGCAACAGAAACTGAGAAGGATGCGACCAGAAATGATCCTTAAGATCAAAGAAGAGGTCAAGAAGCAATTTGATGCTGGTTTTCTTCAAGTGGCCAAGTATCCGGAGTGGGTGGCCAACATAGTGTCTGTTTAAAAGAATGATGGGAAGGTTCGCATGTGCGTCGATTATCGGGACCTCAACAAAGTGAGCCCTAAAGACAACTTTCCTCTGCCTCACATTGACACGTTGGTAGACAATACAACCAAGAACACTTTCTTTTTATTCATGGATGGATTTTTGGGATATAACCAGATAAAGATGCATCCTGAAGACATGGAGAAAACCACGTTCATCACAATGTGGGGAACCTTCTGCTATAAAGTGATGCCCTTCGGTTTGAAGAATGCTGAGGCAACATATCAGAGAGCGATGGTGACCATATTCCACGACATAATGCACAAAAAAATCGAAGTTTATATCGATGACATGATTGTCAAGGCACAAACCGAGAATGAATATGTTGAGAATTTGAAGAAGCTCTTCCAAAGATTGAGAAAGTTCCAACTGAGATTGAACCCTAGAAAGTGCACCTTCGGGGTAATATCCGGAAAACTATTAGGCTTCGTGGTCAGCAAAAAGGCATCGAAGTCGATCCCGATAAAGTTAAGGCTATTCAAAGTCTACCTCTACCACGAACACAAAAAGAGGTCAGAGGTTTTATGGGCAGATTAAACTACATAGCATGATTCATATCTCAGTTAACCGACAAGTGTGACCCAATCTTCCGCCTTCTCTGAAAGAACAACGCTGGAGCATGGGATGAAAAATTTCAGATTGCATTCGAGAAAGTAAATGAGTATTTGTCTCACTTTCCTATCCTGATGTCCCCTATCCCGAGCAAACCTCTGTTATTGTATCTCTCCATATTCGAGAACTCTATGAGGTGTGTCCTAGGTCAACATGATGAATTCGGGAAGAAGGAGAGAGCCATCTACTATTTAAGTAAGAAGTTCACCGATTGCGGGGTCAGATATCCTCCTATCGAGAAGGTTTGTTGTGATTTAGTCTGGGCTATAAAAAGACTCCGACAATATATGTTGTATCATACCACTTGGCTGATCTCCAAGTTAGATCCTTTAAAGTACATGATGGGTGTACCTGCTCTATCTGGAAGGTTAGCCCGATGGCAAATGCTCTTGTCAGAATTTGACATCGAGTACGTGAGCCAGAAAGCAATCAAAAGAAGTGCCATATCAGAGTTCTTGGCAAGTATAACCAATGAGAATTATGATCCTTTAGACTTTGACTTCCCAGACGAAGACTTGATGGCTATATCCTTAGAAGAAGCAAGCACTTCAACGGACAGTTCCTGGAGAATGCATTTCGATGGTGTATCAAATGCATTAGGCCATGACGTTGGGGCAATCCTGATCTCTCCGAAAGGGAATCACTACCCATTCACCAGTAGACTAAACTTTAACTGCACCAACAATTTGGCAGAATACGAAGCTTATGTCTTGGGAATTCGAGCTGCACTGGGGCAAAATATAAAGTCCCTGCGGGTATACGGAGATTCAACATTAGTAATCTATCAGCTCCGCGGAGAATAAGAAACCAATGATACAAAGCTGATGGAATACCAGAGACTAATACTGGATCTCCTCGAGGAATTCGATGAAGTCACATTCCACTACGTGCCTAGAGAAGAAAATCAAATGGCTGACGCTTTAGCTACCTTGGCAGCCGCATTCAAGACTGGCGGGGAGTCTAAAATGATGCCAATTAACATGCAGTCGTATGAGTACCCGGCTCATTGTTACCAAATTGAAGAACTGAAAGACACTAAGCCTTGGTACTATGACATTCTGCAGTATATCAAGCATCGGAGTTATCCAGAATAGGCCACCGAAATCGATAAGAGAACCCTTAGAAAGATGACAGATGGATACGTCCTTGACGGAGAGGTTTTATACAAGAAAAGCCATAATCAAGTCCTGTTAAGGTGCGTCGATACTGAAGAGGCAAAAATGATAGTGGAAGAAGTACATGATGGAGTTTGTGGAGCACATGCAAATGGACATATGATGTCAAGACAAATAATAAGATGCGAATATTTTTTGTCCACACTGGAAAGTGATTACATCAACTATGCGAGAAGATGTTATAAATGTCAAATTTACGGAGACAAGATAAATGTTCCACCCCATCCGCTTCATGTAATGATGTCACCATGGCATTTCTCGTGTGGGGCATGGACGTTATCAGGAAAATCCATCCGAATGCTTCCAATGGTCATTGTTTCATTCTCGTAACAATTGACTACTTCACAAAATGGGTAGAGGCTGCGTCATATGACAGTGTCACTTAGTCTACTATTTGCAAGTTTCTGAAGAAAGAGATTATATGTCGGTATGGTCTACCTGAAAGGATCATCACCGATAACGCTACAAACTTGAACAACAAAATGATGAATGCTGCTTATGAGCAGTTCAAGATAAAACATCACAATTCCACTGCTTACAGACCAAAGATGAACGGAGAAGTAAAAGCAGCAAACAAAAACATTAAGAAGATAGTGGAGAAAACGACTGAAACTTACAAAGATTGTCATGAGAAGTTGCCTTTTGCATTGTTCGCTTATCGAACCTCGGCACGAACCTCGACTGGGGCAACTTCATTTTCACTAGATTATGGAATGGAAGCAGTGCTACCCATTGAAGTAGAGATTTCGTCACTCCGGGTCTTGACAGAAGTCAAACTGGATGATGCAGAGTGGGTACAACCTAGATATGATCAGCTTAATCTGATAGATGAAAAAAGACTGAAATCCATTCATCATGGTCAAATCTATCAGAAACAAATGATCCAATCACATGACAAAAAGGTGAGCCCGAGAATATTCCGCGAAGGAGATATGGTGCTAAAAAGAATTTGGCCAGTCCAGAAAGATTTATGAGGAAAATGAACACCAAATTGGGAAGGACCTTATGTCATGAAAAAGACCTTCTCCGGAGGAGCCCTTGTCCTGGCTGAAATGGACGAACCTGAACTGCCACATCTCATCAACTCGGATGCAGTCAAGAAATACTTCACTTAGGATGAAAACCCGAGAGGGCATCCTAAGTTGAAAAAAAAGAAAATAAAAAAGAAAAATGTTTAGGGTGAAAACTCGAAAGGGTGCCCTAAATTGAAAAACAGAAAAAAAGAGAAAAAGAGACAAAAGAACGAAAGGAAAAAAGAAAAGAAAAAATAAGGTGGGTTCAAGATGAAAACCTGTAAAGGGCGTTTTGTAACCAATGATGGGTCCAAGTTGAAAACCCGAAAGGGCGATTTGGATATCAGTTCAAGAAATCCAGATACTGAAAACATCCCGACATCTGAATCTTCTACAGACTCAATGGGGTGGAGGAATGTTGCACTCCCCAGAATGTTGTCGCATTTTCAAAGATCCATTGGCAAAGTCTGCATTCAAAGTCACCTAACGACTTTTCAGCTCAGACGTGTTCACATTATCGAGATCTCATACTTCATCATGTATTCATTTTCCAAAATGTTTGTCATGTATTTTTCCCCCTTGTGAATAAAAACAATCTTTTTCTCTAAATTAATTCCTTTTGAGCATCTTGGATTGAATTTAAACCTAATGATTTGTTTACTTATGCAAAAGATAATCGCATATTATTGTACAAAGATTCATTGAAAAGTACAGGTACCCGGAAGCCGATCAAAGCTCATGCATATACTTGAGATGGTCGAGAGGTATTTCCTAGATCAATGATCAAAAAAGCAAAATATGCACGTCAGATTCCAACATTTGAAGAATTCAAGACCAGGGATCGGGACTTCAAGATTCCAGACAGGAAACCGGAGATTGAGATTTCTCTCAAGAGCCCCAAGATAACATATGTTGCATATACATTTTAGGCATACCTAAGAGCATTACATCCATAGCATCACATATATGCATGATTTTTCAGGTTTTATCTAGAGCCAATTTCAACTTCGCAGCGAAAGATATTGGACTCGAAATGACACAATTTACTCGAGAGTAGATTTTAACTTCACGACGAAAGATATCTAGCTTGAAGCCAAACTTCACAATAAAAGGGTTCATCCACGGTTTCAACTTCACGGCGAAGGGAATCGTGTCCACCTACAACATACGATACTTGGATTTCAACTTCACGACGAAGGATATTCAAGTCAAGGATCAACTTCACGACGAAGGGGCCATCCGCAATTTCAACTCCACGACGGAGGATATCGTACCCACACATCCACGATTTCAACTCCACGACAGAGGATATCGTTCTATTCGGGGCTCAACTTCACGACGAATGGGCTTTCCAATTTCATAGCCAAATTTAACTTCACAACGAAGGACATTGGACCCAAGACAACACAAGCTCAACTTCACGATGAAGGGGCGGCTGATTATCAACAAACAACTTTTCAATTTTATTCAGAGTCAATTTCAACTTCACAACGAAGGATATTGGACTCAAGACAACACAAGCTCAACTTCACAGCGAAGGAACGACTGACTGTCAAAAAACTTTCCAGTTTCAGAGTTAATTTCAACTTCACGGCGGAGGATATTGGCCTCGAAACAACGCATCTTACATTGGATTTCAACTTCACAACGAAGGATATCCAATTCCAAGGCTCAACTTCACGACGAAGGGGCCATATATAATTCCAACTTCACAAACAGATTGACCCAACTTCACGACGAAGGAGCCATCTGTAACACAACCATACTGAAGTCTTCAAGACAAGTTTCACTTTCACGACGAGGTATCTTGAGCTAGAATATGATCCAGAAGTTGCTAGTCAAATCTTTGAGCTCGGTTTCAACTTCACGACGAAGGATATCGCGCTCAGAAATTTCTAGTTCGACTCAACCTCACGACGAGGGAGTTATTTCGTGATTCAATCCAAATCAACAAATCGGTCTTAATATCAAATTTCAACTCTACGACGGAGGGCATTCGATAAGGACAAAATTTGTGTCTTTTAATCTTTGCTCTATTTTCGTTACACGATAATAAGCAAAGAGGGGAAGCTGAAGACACTGAATTTTGATATTATATAATATTATTTTTTTATTATAAACTATATTATATAAATATATATTTTCATTAAATTCAGGTTTTTACATTTACAGGCCCCAATAACGTTACACAAGACCCAACAGTGGCCCAACAGACGAACTGGCCCCAGGACCCAGCGCGAGTTTGATGTTTCCAAAAACCCTAGCCGTGCCTCGTCCCACAACGTCGTTTCCTCTATGGATTCCTCTCAACCACGCCCGATCTCCACTACCGCACGCCTCTCAACAACTCCAAATTTCTCGGGCACGCAAGGACAACAAATAACAAACATCAAACATTGTAATCCGATTAGGACTCTAACAAATAGTCTAAAAATATGATGATTTGTACCTATAAATAAGTGTAAATCATCACAAGTGTAACTAGGAATTTCATATGAAATAAAGGCAGAAACTTTCGAGCAAAACCACGAGCATTATCAAGGTAAAACAGAAACATTTTTTGAGTTTTTGAGAAGAACAAAAGGTAAAGTCCATACCTTTCTTCGTTTTGGTGGCCTGTATGTCGTTCCTTTCGTGTTGTTTTTGATTCAAACCCCAAAAAAAGTATTTTTGGCCAATGAATGAAGTGAGGCCTTTATTTTTCGAAACCTATTTCTTAGATCTGCGTTTTTTTCGAGCTGATTTTTGAAAAACCACTTGGATTTTTAGACTGTGGGAAGAGAATGGTCTTTAAAAATGACGGGTTTTGTGATAGACCACCGCCGATGAGCGGCGGCGAGGTGGTGGCCACCATTTTTAGGTGGCGGTGCACGACCCTTGTTCTTGGATACTCAAGAACAGTTGAGAGCAAATTGAAAGTGGGGTGGGGCGTTTCTGTGAGAAAAGAGAAAAATGAGACTTTTAAAAAATTTTGGCTTATATGTTAAGCCCAGTTGACCCGTGCCTGACCCACGACCCGACCCGTGGACCTACAAGGCCCGCGTGTTTTCAACATTAAAGGGGTTAATCCCCTTTCCAGTCCCTCTTCGTTTTAAAGCCCTCATTTTACCCCCAAATTCAATTTTTAAACCCCTAATTCGTTCTAATTTGGCTACTCGGTTTACTTTTCTTTTCAATTTATCACCCCCGTTAAATCCAATTCATATTTAAGATTTTAGTTTTTTAGTTTTTTTTATTGTTTTAATTTTTTTCATTATTACGTTTTATTATTATTATTATTATACGTATATATATATATATATTTATTTATTTTATTCAATATTTGATTAGTATATATATATATATTATTATGTTATTCCTTATTTATTATTACTGTTTTTTATTTCAACTTTATTAATTTATTTATCTTCTTTCTTTAACGTTTTTTCATTTCAATTATTTATTCACTTATTATCCTTTTTTATTCTTATTATTTTTTGGTTATTTTTATTTACTTTTATATTGCATATTTTTATGTGTATGATACTTTTAGGGTTCTTATTTTATTTATTTGTTTTACTTTATGTTATTTAGCTTATCTCCTCTTTTTATTTTTTATTTTATTTTCATTCTTATTTCTTTTACTCTATTCTTTTTACTTTATTCATTTTCTTTTTTTAACGTCTTTATTCTTTTTAAAGGGTGTTTTAAATCAATCAGTGGTAAGTCTCAGATCGTTATTTTACCTTTCAATTTAAAATTACAACTTTTTTAATTAAACACAATTGGAAATTGCGTAGTACCGAAAGGGCAGTTCAAGGGGGCTAACCCTTCCTTGACTGTAACCGACTCCCGAATCCGACACATCACTAGTAAGACGCAGATCATGTAAGAAATAGGGTATCCGATCAACCCATTTGCTTTAAAATAAATGATCGGTGGCGACTCCAATTCGTTTAATCCAAGTCGAAGCCCAATTTCGGACCCACTCGAAAGACGATTCCGATAGTACCATAAAGTAACATGGCTATGTTCCGCTTTGCAGAATTGATAGAACAATTCTTCATTCCCAGTAATGATAGATTTACCACATCTACAAGCGTTAATCTTACTCTTGAAATGTGATATATAACACGTTAAAATATAGTGATAGATCTAGAAATATTTTAAAAGATCAACACATATATTAACATTATATTTTCTTATAGGTTCATGAGATTTGAACAGGGCAAATAGGAGTTGAGAGGCACAGGGCATTTGATTTCATATGCTGCAATGATAGTAGTGAACTCCCTAGAGACGAATTTGTTGGTGTTTAAAGCCCAAAGCAAAAACCACAACTGCACAGGGTTACGCACACCACTACATCTTATTCCCCTTGGTATCATAATTGCCATTCTATTCAACTTCTCCTTGGCCATGTACTTTCTACTGCTGCTTGTTCGTCGAATAATTAAGCTTCTTGACTCGAGGGTATGCTGTGCCTAAATTCTTCTTAAGGATAGTCGTGCTTTGTACCTATGATTTTTGTGTTCCTTCAATATGGTCCAAAAATTCCAACACACCAACGTATGACTGAAGCCACCCTTATAGTTTAACGTACAAGGTAATATCTTTTCAAAGGTTATCAACCATTTGACAATAAATGTTCATACCCCTACCAGTACTCAAATCTGGAACCTCTAAGGAGAATAACAAATCCCTTAACCACCGAGGTCGTTTGGTTCGTGCTCTCCTGAAAATTTTAAAGTATTATATATTTAATTTTTTTATATATTTTCTATAAATAATTTAATTTTATCTCCTCTATAATTTTATAAATTCGTCCCTCTTAAAATTTAAATTTATCCTCTCTTATATAAAATCTTATGTAACCCTAATTCTCACTTTTTTTTAAGGACAATAACTCACTTATATTTGTAAGCTTGGGGGAGGTGCCTGCCCCAGTTCCCTGGAGTCCGCCGCCACAAATAAGGCCCAACATCATTCGGCTCACTGTTTCACTCTCTGGGTTGACCTGACCCAACATCGTTCGATCCCTGGCATCTCATCAATATCGTGCATTCAATTTGTTAGCACTATATTTGTTCAAAAAGAACTTTTTAGCACTATAAATATATGAATCGTTTAAAAATACTTAAAAGTCGTGTGATTAAGGGTTATAATTGTTTGCTACAATAGTTTTGGAGAAATTATTAAGCTTTGTCTTAGATTTACTATGAATATTAGAGCAAAAGGACAAAATAAATAAATCTATAATATTTATTATAATATATCGAGGACTCCAATCAATTTAATCATAGTTTTATTGGTTAGTGTAGGATGAATACAAGATAATATATATTTAGTATTTTTTAGTTAGTTGATAGTGAACGCATATGCACTTTATAGATGTAACTAATTGAATAAAAAAATCTCTATGGATAAGAACACTCTCTTTTACTAATGAGGTCGCTTAATATTTTTTTGTAACATACCTAATTGTATGTTTATGCATAATTAACATAGTAAATACCAACAATCAACATGTCTAGTGGAATGGTCACTAGACTTTTTTAAACAAGATCAAGAGTTTGAATTCTGATAATTGCAAATTGAGTAACTGAGTTGGGAGTGTTACTCTATAATAGGTCTTTACAAAAGTCAATCTAAATTAAGCAATCAATAAATTAGTTATTAATAATTAATAGTTAAATTAAAAAATACCTCGTAGATCCTAAACATATATACTTCAAACAGAATATCTCTTTGTTTTTCAGCTTGAATTTTAGGGTCTGTTTGTTTGGGGAAAACCCAATTACAGAATTGGTTTTCCGTGAAATCCCGTGTTTATTTAACGTAATTCGTTTTCCGGAAAATGTTTTCCAATGTTTGGTTAGAGGAAAACTGGTTGGTCAACGTAAAATATTTTTCTGGTCAATAAAATTTCCTTTGTGTTTTCTGGAAAATGAGGTCTAATTTTCCATAAGTCATTTTTCGAACTTTTCACTTCAAAGAATAAATACTCAAAATAATTTTATTTTTTGGATTTAATATTAATAAAATATTTTAATATCATTTTAATCAAAATATTAATTATTAAAATATTTAAAATATATTTATTAATATTTCTAATAATATAATATTATATTTTTAATATTATAATAAAATAATCAATTATATTATAATAATATAATATATTATATTTTTATTTTAATAATATATAATAAATTATTAATAAAATTTATATTATTTATTAATTTCATAGAAATAATATTATTATTAACTTATTAATAATGAATAATATTATTTATATATTTAATATTAATATAATAATCTAATAATTTTAATAAAGATATTTAAAATATACTAATTAATATTTTTAAAATATAATATAACACTATTACTTTAATAAATAAATAATATAATTTATAATATTTTTATTTCAATAAAATATACCAATATTAATATTTTTATTAATAAAATTATAAAAATAATATTTAATAATAAATAAATTATTTTAATATTTTAAAAATACTTATATTAAGTTTTACGATAAATAATAATATTATTTATTGTATTTAATATTTGTAATAAATAATTTTTTAAAAAACTCATCAACTAGTATAAAAAAAGTTTAAACAATATTTTACAAACATCGTAAAATTTTTTCCAGAAAATGTAATTAATTTTCCTGAAAAACATTTTCCGAAAAACGTTTTTTTAGAAAATGTAATTCATTTTCCAGAATTAAATTTTCAAAAAATAAATTACAGACAAACAAACAGACTCTTACTTCAGTTAACTGGAGTTGGTTAATAAATAGGCTGCTCATATTGTAAATTGACCTTATTAAATAGTATATAATTAACATAAAGAACAATACTAACAAATTCAAGATTTTTTTAACAACGTACATTCAATAGGAGAAAAAACACTGATTACTACAATGATACTAAAAATAAAATACCATATAATGACACTAATTACAAAGTATTGCCAAAAAATAAAAAAGTGGAGTTATAATAAAGAGTAATTGGTTTTTTAAATAAATAAATTGAATTTAGTTTGATTGGTATTATTATTAATAAAATAAAAAGATAAAAAAAAGGAAAAAAACCCATCCCATTAGCATAGCTGCTTAACAGAATCTGCCACATATGAGCCATCTGAAATCTGGGCAGTGCAATTAATATGCATATTGGAAATAGCAAGAGTGGGGGGTGTACTTGGCAAAGTGCCAGATGGGAGGGGGCAAAAAGTAGATTGAATTTATGACAGCATCTTTCTCCGGTCTCTACTATTTACTGTCATGATAATAATTTGTGTCACTGTGGGGGAATATCCCACTTGGGTTTTCTCACCTCTGGTAAAACCAATGCAGTATCTGAATATGAATGTTTGCTTCCCTAGGGAAAGTCAATCCCATTTTCTTATCACAATTTACAAAGTCAATGCTAATCCATTTGTTCTTCTCATTCAAAAACTTGTTCTTAGCTGGTTGAGAGTGCACCCAGAAAAAAAAAGAACCCAATCCTCGTGTTCATTACATTCAAGTACTTTTCTTTGATCTTTTTCTGGCAAATTCTTATATGGTTTTAGATCTGACAGTAATAAAACATAAATGAAGCTGACTGAATTCATACAGCATTCATAATGGGAGAAATAGTACTATTTATCTTAGATAATGAAAAACCAAAGAACAAAACATAAATAATCATATATGTATCTATATATCGTATCATTTGAAGTCACTTACTTATCTGACTTTCTTAATCTTGTTCCCTAGATCTGCAAGAAGAGCTGGAGGGAATAAAGACTCCATCTCTTTCGTCAAATCGAGTAGGATTCTTCGGCGAAAGGCTTTTCGTTTTGGCGATTTAATTGGGAGAGATTTCGGTTTTCTTGGTGCAGGTGGGCACTTGAGAATGGCTGGAATTCTATGATCCAAAGAAGTTGGAGTCTTGAACCCATCATCGTTTTCATCATCAGCAACGTTGAATTCTCCTGAAGATGGCGACTTGAGCTTGCTTCTTTCTCCATCTTCTTTTAGCACCAACTCTTCTTTTCGTTGATGAGACCCGTCGTCGTCAATAACAACATCTTGAAAATTGGGTGCAGTTTGACACTGATCTTCTGGGAATTCTAGAGGAGGCCTAACCAAGAAACTGAGTTCCACGGTGCTACTTCTTAGATCTTTAAACATCTCGGAATTGCAGACAAATCTTAATGTTAATTGACACAAAGTCTTAAACAAACCTAGGATGTGAAGGACAAGGGATAAAACATGAGAGACGAACAGGCACTGCAAACTGCAAAACAAACCCAGAAAAAGACAAGTAGTACCAGCATGAACGCTGAGGCATGAAAAGCCCGGAAAAACAAGAAAGAAGCCTGATATTTATATAGGGAAACGAAAATGCCAAAGGGTATTTTTTCAGTTCATCACATCACCGTCTACCTTGATTGTTCACTGATTTTTTTCACAGTTTTTCTTTAGAATTTAGTTCTCAAACATGTTTGGTTTCTGATAAGAAAAGGATGGAAAGATGAAGAAAGAGAGAGGCTTTGAGAACCCACTTCGGCGTAGGATCCAATGCATCATATATATAAACAAAATCCCACGTATCTTTCTCGCTTTCACTCACTCAATAAAAGGTCTCTTTCTGTAGCTCAACACCCCATTTTTTTATTTTGGTCAAAGTGTGGTTTTGGTCCTTCTACTATCCTTAGTTCAGCGTTTAGTCTATATATTTGGAGTAAAATGGGTGTTTTTAAAACAAATACATATATTTAAGTATTTTAACCAGAATATTTAATATTCTTGATTATTTCAACTAAATTTAGAAGATCAATCTATCTCAAATTACAGTAGAGGCATAAAATCCAAAACTTGAGAATGATGAGGGACCAAAAACCGTAATTTAACCTTTATTCTTGATGAAGTATTTTTCACTCTCTTTCACCCTTACGAAAAGCGTCATCCCCATTAAATTAACTACATAAAATCTCGTTTAAGCAACTCCTTTTCCCTCATGTATACGAACTTCGATGCATCAAATCACGTGGTTTACAACTCTCATTTCATGATTTTATCCATCTCGCGAGATTTTCCCATGATTCCTCATCATTTTTAGGTGTTGTAAACAAATTGCATGTTTAGGTGTTGTAAATTTTATGTGGTTTTGACAGAGGGATTGTCGGGTGTATGGTGTAGGCCATGTTGAGCTTCCAGTCTCTTTCACATTAGCAAGAGGCTGCAAGGATCATTGGGTTCTAAATCATTGTCCAGGAAACCTCCAAATATTTATTTTCTCCAGCAATATCATTGCCTTTGAATTTGCTTTGTTTTCTCAATGCCCTCATCTGTCTGTTTTCTAAATATCATTATTGAAGCCATAATTATAAGATTTATATATGTGGATGGGAATAAATAATTCACAATTATTATATACGGTTCATCTTTTCTAATTTATATACGGATCATCGGTTGATGTTACGATTTTCTATTTTTAGAGAAGAAAGATATGGAAATGATGGATTTAAGTGTTAACCTTTTTTCAGTATTGATCATGTGATTTTATAATGACTAAGAATATTGGTGTCATGCATTGGTCTATGATGATTATTTATAGGCAGAAAGTATATACAGATCCGATTGATATGGTCGATTATTGATTGATTCTCACATATTATTTGAGACCTATTAGAAATCATATTGGAAGATTGTATCTATCCGAAGACATTTTTTCTAAAATTTTTACTGTGAGGTAATTTTTCGGGAAGTTTTACGTGGGAAGTGGGGGAGGTCCAAAAGGTGTATTACCAGATATATGATCCATATTAAAATAGCATGGTTAAATATAGCCTGTTAAAAGTAGTTACAGAAAAAGAAAGTTAAGAATGTGCAATGATTCCCAGGAAACAGAAACCACAGATCCCATGTTATGCACTAATATATAATAATTCAAGGGAAGCCTTTTGTTCGCAGTACATATCTACCATCTATATTTATCTGCATTCACAAATATGCCTGCCTCCATGTTTCCACATGGGTCCCTTCCACCGCTGGCCATTTTTGAAGCCATGGCTAAGCTTCTTTTTGCTTAGGCTTTAGGCTTTGGATTCCTAAAATTCGGTGACTATGGAGGAGACTGCGCCGCAGTGACCAATATGCATGCATGCTTTCCTTCCCATTATTTTCATACCGTTTTGCTTTCTAAGTTTTTCAATGAAATTAGTTATAATAATCAATACTTGTCTTAAACACTAATTTCATCTAGATTTTCGTATAATCAATGTATATTATATTTTAACTTTTTTTAAGTACATGTATATATTATAACTTATATATATATAAAATTGTAGGGAAAACTACTTCTGATATCACTTAATTTCGTACGTCGATTCGTTTGTGCTATTAAACTTTTAAAATTTTCAGTTGTAACATTAAATGTTAGTTTTACATTCAATACCACTCCTCCATTGAATCAATAACGAGATGATGACATGACTAATGATTGTTGACGTGGTCTGTCACACCAAAACAACAACTTTTTGGTGCGTCTATTTTGATGCCTAAAACGTCATTGTTTTAGATAATGAACTTTAACGTTGTATTGATTTATCACTGGACTTTTAAATAGTTTTCATTTTTAACATTGTACTTTTCGACCGTCGTTGTTGACGGTCAAGGATTGCCCGTCATTATTTCGTGACAAAATCAGTATCAAGACGTTTGTATTTCACTCCTCTTTCTTCTCCTAAGATTAATTTCCCACAAACACTCAAAATTGGCGAAAGTTGTTATCCATTTTCAAAAATAACAAATTACACTCTAGTTCCTGTTTTTGTTTAAATAACTTCTATTATTTTTTTATCAATTTTAAAATAAAATAATTTGGCATATATGTATATATAAATGGATAAAAAGTTTAAAACAAAGATCATGGTAAATATATAATTACAGCATCTCATGCACAAAGTCGTGCTTAATGATTTTGCTTCCCATCTTTGATCATAATGTCCCCATCTTCATCCCCACACTCTTCCTTATTCATTTGCTTTTTTCCCGCCATTCATTCATTTCATGTTTCTCCAACATCCCTCCGATAGGCCTTGGTAGGGTTTTGTTTCATTATAATAGCACCAAGTCATAAAATAATTTATATATGTCTACCAGTATCCAATCTATTGACTTCTTTTTATTAACTTATAAATGCCTAAACTTTTTAGTGGTAAGGCATTTATAAATTAATAACAGTTGTGGCCCGGACATGGGCATCATGAAGGGATGCATTATGTCCACTCTAAGCCGAAAGAAATAAATTTGCCAAAATTCCACAATATTTTGTAGGTCCTTTGAATTATTCATTTCATATATGTATATAATATTTCTCTCTCTTTATGCTCTATATTAGTTATCAGTTTCCTAAGTAATTGACTATGTCTTTATTTCTCGGCCATAAATGGTTATGAATGCTGGATTATTATGATCATATCATGTATCTAAACTTTTAGTTAAAAACATACACACTCATTACTTAAATAAAAAAAATAAATATTTTTCAATAATATTTAGAGCAATTGGTTAAAAACCCTTATGATACTTTTTATGTCTATTAAATTATGGGTCAATACCTATTGAAAAGAAGAAATATTTAAAATTATACTAAAGTTTACAACTATAAACATAAACTAAATGTAATTAAGATTTTTTATAACTATTGACACAAAAACTAGTCATTTGAGATCATAAGAGGGTCAAATAAAAAAAATTAAAAATCTATCTAAAAAACTCGAACAAAAGATATATATGATTACGAACATATCTAACTGCGTCGGCAAAACGAAATCAGAGTTAAGCATCGTTAGAAACCATATAAGAGCGTTTTGCTTTTACGCAGGTGATTTTATGTTTCTCTTCTGTTTGGTTCACGAGGAAACTTGGGGTAAAAAAATAAATAAAAGAAACTAAGATTCTTGTTTGATCATGTAATACATATATTTCTATATCTTCATCCGATTTTCATTTGGCATTGTGTTTATTAAGTAGGAATTGTATGTTTCAGTTATTTAGTTTAATTGTTTTAATTTTACTTTTGTTCTTCATTGGATTTCAGATAATTTTTGATTCTTCAGCTTCTAATTATTGGATCTAGAATGCTTAATGATTTCTGTTTCATTGATTTCGTGGAGTATTCTTTTTATTAATCAGAAAAATCAAAGAAGGTAAGAATATATGATTCTAAGAAGGGTTTCAGCTCTTTATTTTAATCGTAATCTTCTTGTACATATCATTTGTGATGGATTTTTAACTGCGAAATTTTCATTAAAAGTGAGCTTGTGGAATTGTGACTGTTTCTCTTATTGTTATGGTGTTATCTAATTTTGATGTTTCATTTCAGCTGGTGATACAAGATGGCTGAGGGTGAAGATATCCGACCACTTGTATGCGATAATGGAACTGGGATGGTTAAGGTATAAATTTAGGATTCACCGTCTTTGGTACTTCAATGAATTGTACAGTGTTTTAAGCTATATTTCTAGTATTCTGTATTTTTCTTCAAGTAAAACAGTATTTGAAACTCATGTCCAACAAATTGGTAGAAAGATATGATCTCTAAAATCCTACAAATTGGTGGGAAAAGGTCTAAACTATATCCATGTTGGAAAGGTATTTTATATCCAACTTTGGTTCTAATCTTTTGTGTTTAGCTTTATGTAGTATCTTTCCCTAGTGATGCATTTTAATGTCTTTAGGCTGGTTTTTCTGGTGATGATGCACCAAGGGCTGTGTTCCCTAGTATTGTGGGTCGTCCACGTCACACTGGTGTGATGGTTGGGATGGGTCAGAAAGATGCATATGTTGGGGATGAAGCTCAGTCCAAGCTTGGTATTCTCACTCTCCAATATCCCAATTGAACACGGCATTGTTAACAACTGGGATGATATGGAAAAGATTTGGCCTCACACCTTTTACAGTGAACTCCGTGAGGCTCCAGAAGAACACCCTGTTCTTCTCACTGAGGCACCTCTTAACCCGAAAGCCAATCGTGAGAAAATGACCCAAATCATGTTTGAGACCTTCAATACTCCTGCTATGTATGTTGCTATTCAGGCTGTTCTCTCACTCTATGCAAGTGGTCGAACAACCGGTAAGTCATTGACTATGCTCGATGTCAAATTTGCATTTGGTTTGAGACATTCTGAACATGCTTTTATGTAGGTATTGTTCTAGACTCTGGAGATGGTGTGAGCCATACTGTCCCCATTTATGAAGGATATGCCCTCCCGCATGCCATCCTCCGACTTGACCTTGCAGGACGTGACCTTACGGATGCCCTTATGAAGATATTGACTGAGCGTGGTTATTCATTTACCACTACGGCTGAGCGTGAAATTGTGAGGGATGTGAAAGAGAAGCTTGCATATATTGCACTTGATTTCGAGCAAGAGCTGGAAACTTCCTGAACTAGTTCTTCCATTGAGAAGAGCTATGACTTGCCTGATGAACAGGTGATCACAATTTGTGCCGAGCGTTTCTGTTGCCACAAAGTCTTTTTCCATCCGTCCATGATATGGATGGAAGCTGCCGGCATTAAAGAAACGACATATAATTCTATCATGAATGTGATGTGGATATCAGGAAGGATTTGTATGGAAACATTGTTCTCAGTGGTGGAACGACCATGTTCCCTGGAATTGCTGACCGAATGAGCAAGGAAATCACTGCCTTGGGCCCAAGCAGCATGAAGAAGATTAAGGTGGTAGCTCCACCTGAAAGGAAATACAGTGTCTGGATTGGAGGCTCCATCTTAGCATCTCTCAGTACTTTCCAGCAGGTATTATCGAGTTAAATCAATTGAAACATCCAAACCTGAAACTCGGCTCAATCAACTGAACTTAAATTTGACTTAATTTAATTATAAAAAGCTAAACTCCTTCCTTGGTAGTTCATACATGAGCCATTTACTTAATGTGATCTGCAATGCAGATGTAGATTGCTAAGGCATAGTATGATGAATCTGGCCCATTTATTGTCCACAGGAAATGTTTCTAATTCTTCAGAATTCAAAGCTCCTAAAAGTAATCAATGTGTTGGTTTTTTGGCTTAACATATTCAGGCTCCCATGTTCTTTGTAAACACTTAATTTTTTCATTTTATTTTTAATAATAATATTATTATTATTATAATTATAATTATTATTATTATTAAATTATTATTACAGGCCCGTTTTACAAATCTGGTGGCCCAACAAGAATCAACACAAGGCCCAGTTACCTCAAGCCCAACCCGATCCAGGCCCAAATAATAACCCTAAACCCATTTAGGGTTTCCTATTAGGGTTTCTAAACCCTAGCTCACAGCCGCCGCCTCCAAGAGTTCCAGCCGCCACTGCCGACGCTCCCACTGCCAGGTGCTCCACTTCGACAATGCCACCACGCTGCCGCCTCGCTGAAGACTCCAGAAGCGCCACGAAGGCACCCACGTCGAAGCTATATATAGTGAGTCACCACATAGCTCGGTGACTCACCGAACTTCACCCATGGGACTGGTCCGAGATCCACACCGTCGATGGCTATAAAAGCCATCGACCACCTGCAAAGAGAAAAAACGACGACATATACCAGCAACCAACGGCAGAACACAGAAGAGACCAACAACAAGCACAACCAACGACGAACACCAACAGCAAGAAACAAAACCAAAGGAAAGAAAAAGGAGAGAAGAAGAGGAACTTACCTTGTCGGAGAACCCCAAACGTCGGTATTTTCTTAGATCTAGGAAATTCCGAGAATTTTTAGGGGAAATAGAGGCCATATTCGGCCTTAGGGTTAAAAGAGGGAAGTTCAGAGCTATTTTCTCGAGTTCCATCCACCGGTGGCCGGCGGTGGCTGCCGGCGTCAGAGCAAGGCGGCCGGCCAGTGATCTGTTTCTCTCCGACGACAGAAGCCTAGAGAGAAGACAGAGAAATTTTTTCTCTCTCTCAGTTAGAGAGAGAATGAAAACAGAAAAATGAAAAAATTGGCCTTTAAAGGCCGGTTAAATGAGTTTATATACCCTTCCCTAAAC